AATGCTCGCAATAATTAACGAGATATTAACGTTTAAAGATAGCAGAATACGCCCGACCTACTATTGCCAAAGGTACGGCCCACCGAGCGCACGGCGCGCGAGCTGCGAGGAGCGGGGGGTTGGCCTAGCAGGCGCGCCGCGCCGTTCGAGCTTACAGGCTCGCGGCGGCGAGTGGAGCGCTTGCCCTACTCCCCGCGCGCCAAGCTATCGATGGTGGATATTCGGCGCTTTACAAATAAGCGCCGAATAAGAATAATATCTCGATTGCGAACATTGGGAAATAATCAAGAACCGTCGGAAAAAACTCAGTTTAGTTCGTACTCTCAAGTGTACACATGTATATACAAAAAAATGTTACGTAAATATTACTTGTTTCAAGTAAATAATAAGAGTATTTTAAAATTATATTATTAAGAAAATATTTTTTGTAATAATATAATTGTTACTAAAAAGAAGAAGAATAAAAATTGCATTCTCTTTTAGCACTAGAATAATATTTTTTTGTATTTTTTTACATTACCGCATAGAAATTCGGACATCCGCATAAATTTCATCGAATGATCATGTAAAAAAATTAAGACATAAAGCAACAATTGTATTAATAACTGATAATATATATGTACGTAATAAAAACATGTAAAGTAAAATTTATTTTTAAAATTAAACAAAAAATATAATTTTGCAACCTGTTTGATTCATTGAAGTTTAATACGAGAATATATTATGTATTGTATATTATTATATATTATATTGATCATATATTACATGTATATATTAATATATTTATAAATTAATGTATGAATATTTTATTGTATACATGTAAAATATTTTCCTGATTATTCTATGTAAGAAAATGATATAAACGATTAGAGTCTTTATTTCACGTGTACAAAGAATACTCGGACACATCGGATCAATTCATCGGCACAACTCTATTGCCATACCGCTCAGTCGAACTTTTTCGAAAGACTACGTTTATAAAAGTCTCGCGCTTTACCCGGAAATGAAGTAATAATACATGTGGTATTAACGGCTCAACCGCGTAGTTCAAATGGGTGAATTACTAATTACTTAAGAAAGTGCTACTATCTTTATTATTCACTTAACTAGTGATTATCATTTGTATAAACAATTTCCATTGGATTAATTACGTATTAAAAATATGAGTTTATTTTTTTTTTTCGGCAGTGTAATAATATACAATATAATTAGGGAAACATTTGCTTTTATTTAAATTTAATTTTTATTTAACACTTAAAAAATTATTTTATCAAGTTACACATTTTACTTTATCTACCTAACAATCTATTCACATATTTCATTCTTTCTATGCAAAGTGCACATTCGCGGCGGACTGCTACTTACAGAGAAATCATACTCAGATGTGCTGTAAAAAAGTGTTAAAAATTAATTATTAAATTGTATAATAACAAAAATAAATCTTAAATAGATTACGTTGATTGTATTTCTTTAAATTATATTAATTATACAATGATAACGTAAGGATTTTACAAATTTGCTGAGGTTTATAAAACGTAATGTCCATCTCTAACTTTATACATTTTTATCCATCTTATTTCTGTCCTTATTCCAAAGATTGCAACAGGAAAAAATAGGACATTGTAGTATTCACGAACTATTAATAAAAGCGGAATAATTAGAATTAGATTAATAAGCATAAGGTGAAAAGTTGATCATTTTATAGGGGTTCGGCTTGACAAAGAGTCAACAATTGAACATTATTATAATTGAATATCAATCTCAAAAAAATTTAAATTCAATATAGAATAGTTGAAAAAGTTCAAGTTGATTATAAAAATTATTGAAAAAAAATTTCAATTGTACATAAAAATTTTTAAGATATACGAAGAATTAAATTACTAATTTTTATTTTCAACATTGTTTAAGCACTATAAACACAAAAAATGTAAATATTTCTTTAATAATAAGGGGGGGTTTTGAATAGAATTACTTAGAATGATTTTCTGATCTCTCCATCACTATTGCCTAATTTTTTAAAAGAGTAAAACAATCCTCAAAATAATTATTGTTGAGTTATATCTACGCACAATCAAAGGAAAAGGGAACAAGTAATAGAGAATAAGAATTTCAACTTATCAGAAAGCATATACTGTGGAATATATAGTTTCTGATAGGTTGAAATTTTTATTCTCTATTCCCTGTTCTCTATTCCTGTAATTGTGCGCAGCTCCTTTCTTGAGAACGAATGTAGATATTTACGATTTACAAAAACATATTTACGATAAAAGATATTTACTATAGTAGATATTTACTAAAGATACTATAGTATTTTCCTAGAGAGTTTTTTGTGTACGTTAGAAATATATCTAATTTAGCACATAATTATACAAATTGAAAATTTTTAATATGTTATATTGATCCACACACACAGCTATATTACTATTTTATATGACCTTATATGATTATAGTCAAAATATTTTACTCTATGCCTGTATGTCGTTTTTTATCTTTTATATAGAACTATCAAGTGGTATGGTTTGTTTTTTTTTGTATAGGCTATGTGGACTAATTCTGTTTAAATTTGATTAAATTTTTCCAGCACGTCATACATTGTAATTATAATAATAAAACATGTGGAAATAATTTTTTTTTCAACTTTAACTGAAAATTTCTCAAAATTGTGACGTAATATAACAATTTGGAAATGAGATTCATATTCAGCGTTCAAAAACTACAGGAAATAAATAATCTTATTCTGATGTTTTTTTTATTGAATTGTATTGTAATAAATACTTACATTGGTAAACATGGTTACATTGACGGGAGAAAAAACTGCATTTATAGTCATTGGCTTTTGCATCAACATCAAAATAATATTTGTTCTTACGTGACAATCAAGATTAGAATTGAGCCATCTGCTAAAGTATATTGCTTTACGAAATTCCTCGCCCTAAATACATGTCAAGAATGGTCAATTTTGAGTTACATTTATTGTTTTACTGCTCCGTTAAATTTATAATATCAAATTTAATCCAGTGTGTGTTGCCATTGTACTACTAAATATATCATTATTGTACTAAAACACGATAATTAAATTTAACACTATATCATATTAATTTGATATTATACAGTGTCAAATATAACTATTGTGTTAATATAATATAATAATATCATTGAGTAGGTGCAGTGGCGACTCATATTAGATTAAATCTAACACTAAAGATTTAACGGTGTAGATTACAAAAACTTACCGCATTTGTGAGAAAAGTACCATACCATGTATACATAAATGTTTGAAGCAGTTTTACTCCAGCGTATGACATAGATGCGGAAACGGTTTCAAAATTTAAGACCGATAACTGTTGCAGATATTTGACGATTAATATTATGTCAGTGACTATTTGTGTAATGCAATACCATTTACATAGTGAAAAACTTTCAAGCACTGCGCAGCCTTTGATTCTGTATTTTGTAACAGATTACGACTGCACACAGTGTACTAGATAACAAAATTAAATCGTAATATTTTACATTAATGTGTTTACATACTGATGTGAAGTCGTATATCAAAAAGCAAAGAAGCACGGCATTGGTAACAACATGCCAAAAGACGATTGGTCCATAAACGTGCTCCAGCGTGTTACGACATTGCAGTAGCTTCTGATGTTTGACTGCGCACGTTCTCAAGAGATCTGAAAATTTCTCAGTGGACAGTGGATTTATGAGAGTGGATATCATGGCGCTTAGTGTCGAGCTAAACTGATAAACATAATAGCCAAAAGTGCTATCGACAGCGCACGTTATTATGCTGATGAGTGTCATTAGACCTGGTTCGTAGAACAAACGTAGATAAAATAAAAAATTGTCAGAATCGGTCGAGAGTAATCCAAATCCCCCGCTAATTGGTGGAGTACAGTTGGTAATTGAATGAAAATGGAGAAAATTGCGGATCATACAAATATACGAAGACTTAAACGTATATGTAAACATCAATGCTACCACAATGGCGAAATATGTATATGCCATAGTATATATTGTACGCAGGGACGAAAATATTCCTGTCGGTTTTTTTTCGTTTTGCATAAGCTCCTCCTCAAAAAAATCATTGAGCGTCCGGTGATAAATTATTAAAGACTCGCGATTTATTATGAAGCTTGCCACCTTAAAGAAGACCAGAGATGGATGTTTCTTCTCGTGCGAAAAATTAAAATCAGTTAATTACATAGAAATTAATGTAGTATCTTAACATCACGCTTGTAAATTTGTAATATTTGAATTTTAAACCAAAATGTTGCTTTCTTTTCTCGAAAGACGTTGCAAAAGAATAATATTTATAAAAAAAATTAATAGATTAGCTAATTATGCTTTTTTCTTTATAAATTGTTTCTGTTGTAAATTTTTATTTCGTTTAATTTTAAGTTGAGTTGATTCTTTAAAATGTTAATATAGGTATATAAAAATATATGTTAAATAATATTTATTTTTTTAATTAATTGAAAAATTAATTTTGCCATCTTTTTAATATATTGTAGTTTAATGTGTCAATGTATTACATAATATCGTATTATGTTTTGTTATGTTGTGTATTGCATTATATTTTATTTTATTAATCATATTAATGTGGGGTATGTGAAGTTAGCACCCCTAACTCTATACTCAAGAGTTCTGATTAGAGTTTTCGTTTTTTTTTTTGACGAGACGGAAAGTTCTATATAGTTTGTAACAAGAGTTCCGTTTAATAATTATTTTTAAATATTTTTTAAAAAATGGGGTGTTAAGTTCTCATCGGCACTCGAGATCGAATAGTTCTGAGCAGCTCAATAGCTTAATTTCGTGAATACTCAGAATTCTTGACGCATAAAAAAAATTTTGAAATAAAATAAAATTAAAAATTTTTGAAAAATCAATTTCCTTCTTTTTGATATAGAGAACTTTTCGTCTCGTCAAAAGGAATACTAATCAGAACTATTGTATCTAAAAATTTTCAAAAATTTTTAATTTTTTTTATTAAAAAAAATTTTTTTTTATGCGTTAGGAACTCTAGGTATGCACGAAATGAAACTACCTGAGCCGCTCAGAACTGTTCGATCTCGATTTTCGATGAGAAGTTAGCACTCTATTTTTTAAAAATTATTTAAAAATAATTATTAAGCGGAACTTTTGTTATAGAACTCTTTGTGTTTCGTCAAAAGGAAACGAAAACTCTAATCAGAACTCCTGTACTGTGAGTACTATAGTTGGAGTGCTAACTTCACATATCCATTATGTGAGTATGTTAATTTATTTAAAAATTAATTTATTAATGTTTTATTGTATACATGTAAAATATTTTTCTGAATTTGTTCTGTTATGTAATGGAATGCTATTATCTTATAAATCGTACCTTGAGGACGGTGCTCAATCCTGATATTACGGAGTTAACATATTTCATCATGATCCTCATGTTATGTCTGGCGATGTAGAGCATATGCAAGCTTAGCATTGAGTAAATTATCATTAACAATAACACACAAACTGACCAATAGTACATTGATTTGCCGAACTTTGTTGGCATGTGCCAACAACCAATGATGGTAAGCAAAGATCGAAGGAAACGTTGATACGTGCGATATGCTTTCAACTGTTTATCAATCATCTTAATCCTGCAACTGGCATATATATAACTCAAAGGAATGCTCTCTAAATTGACAAAACCCAATGTTTTTTAAATATTAAGGAAATTTAAGGTAATTTAATTTAATTTGGAATACAAAATTAGCAGAGTAGAAATTTGATTTTTTTAAATGAGAGATAATATCTTTAATTTTTATTTTTTTAATATATGTTTGTTATTAATACTATTTTCTTTCTTGTAGCTTTAACAATAATTACAATAATTATAATTAAGTCTCTTCAATCGAAATGTAATTGAAAATATATCCATTAATGTTAACATTCTGTACTTATAAAAACTGGGATGAATGCATTTTTATTTTTATAATTAATAACAAGTCACATTGTAAATGTTATCATTTTGTTATACGTTATTGTTACAGAAATTTAGAATAATATATTTTAAAACGTATAAAAGAAAGGATAAATTTTAAAAAATTGTCACTTTGTACAAAATTTGAATAAATACGTATGTCATATTGAGCGCTGCGTAATGTCTGCCAGGTTCAAGAAAAAATTTTATGTTAATAAACTTTTAACTAAGAAATACCGCTCGAAATATCTCTTTCAGTGTTTGTGATACGTACAATATGATGGTTTTAATGGTACAAAGTTAAAGAAAGAAAATTTACCTTCTACTTTGTCAAGCCAAATCCAAACTATTGAAGAATTGCAACTTGTATTAGCATTGCTTTTATGTATCTTTTCATTTAATATTCGCATTGTAGGTCTGTCGAGAATTTGAAAAAATAATGACTGTGTAGTCAATTCAATATGTCTTTCGATAGAATTTTTTGAAATTATGTCCTAATTTAGGTTTCTTATGACTATAGACGAACTATAAACATAAGGAAAATTGCACTTCAAAGAGAATGGTAAGACATATCCGCGAAACCACATGGATTGTAAAACGCATTGTAAAACGTTAGGGTTATTTCTTCTAAAAGATTAGGGTTATTTCTTCTTATTTAACTTATTAAAAACAAATTTACGATTCTTTTTTCTTGTATGAGTTAAGAAAAGTTATTTTATTGATTATAATATTGTCAGTATACCGTTGTTGGCTATACGCATGACATCGGAAGAATATTGATACACTTTGGTAGTGAGGATATAAGCAGCGAGAAGTCTGAATAAAAGAGTTCCGTTCTATTACCTATGCTTGACATTTTATCTTATTGGTACGTATTATCAATATAGTTTTTTATATCTTTTGCTGAATTAATGTGCAGCTTAATAATCTTATTAAATACATACTGTATTGATTAATGGTGTTTTACAATTTTCCACAAATTTATCTTTTTTACATCAACAGATTTACAATATTTTTTATTTTTGAAATAAACAAGGTTCTTTACGCATCGAAATATTGTTGTTATATCGTTAGTAACGTGTCTATTGCTTATATAAATTGAGAATATAAGCAGATATCTTTATAAAAAAAAGGGTTCTTCTCAGCATCTTCGCTCGATACTTCTTTCGTTGATACGATATTGACATATTTTCCTTTTAAGCATATTATTAGGTGAGTGTACGACTTAAAAGCCTTTTAAATGCAATAATTAATAAAATTGTAATACGCTTTTGTTTAAATATTGATTGAGCATTAAAAGATGATAATAGTAAGTATGATATGAATTTAGACCAATGAGAATAAATTTAATTAAATACGAAAATTCCTGTCTCTAAACATTCAGTCAAAGCTGGATTTTATAATGTTTAAATATTTCTGCGTGAATTTATATACATATGTAATTCTGCATATTACTGCTGAAATTTTTTTGGGTCTTGAAACGCCATCATGAGCAAAACTAGAATAATAATTTCACTGAAATTCTAAGTTTAAAACCTGGCTGAGGCAACATTTTTCGCAATAAATTATTCGCAGATTTTAAGATTTTTATAAACATCTTATTAATATTCTTTGTTGAGAAAAGGATCTGTGTCCTGTTTTGCATTATGTGGAACGTCGTTTTCTCGTTGACTGAGACTCATGCCTCTTGCTTTATGGCCACGCCCGAATTGGTTTCGGCAGCGCGAATAAAAACAAAACTCTTTTGTACAAGTGTATTTTAATGCCTGCTTTTTACAGCATACTTTACAATAGTACGTAATGATAGAAAAATGA